CGTAGCAGCCCTTTTGAATTTTTTTCACTCAAATCAAATCAAATTTTTTTGTTCAGCTTCTTCTCGTTCTTATCGTGAACGATGGGTCTCAAGCCAGTGAATTATGGGTGAAATAGAATCATGATTTTTCCGAGAAGGATTGGAGGATTCCTTTAAGCCATAAAATAGTCCAGAAAATGAGCCTTAAACTATCGCCTGTTTCCTAAGGTGAAAGTCCATTCCACTGATGGCGGTTCTGTTCCCATGACGAGTTGAAAGACGAGGTTTGACGTTTCCTGAAGGACATGGTGGCGAGCTGCAACGACATGGGCGTTGTAAAACTGCCAAAGCCTCTATAAAAATACGTGGGCCGCCATGACAATTATGTAGAAAAATAAGACAACCTCTGCCCTCCGAAATGAAATGAGTACTATCGAACAAAGGTTGACTGTTCATCCAAAACGGTAGAGCATGAATGGACAAAGTATTTAGGTGCTATAGGAAGATACGGGGGCATTGTGGTGGCAATGCATTGAAAACCGCGAAACTTATCCAGGGAGGAGGGACTTGTGGTGCGTGACACTTTTTCTATTTCCCTGAAGCTTCAGCCCCCGCATCCTAGGCTTGGTCCTTGAGGATGCCCCACATCTTGCGATAACGTCGTATCCGGCGGTGTTTAATCATTTGCTAGGATGCGGCACGCAGCTCTCACTCCCGCTCAGAATCGTAATGGCAATTTTAATGTGATTTGGCCTATTCATTGAGTTTCTGGGACCCGCCTGCATGTCAGTGTGACGCCAAGGTCGGCGCTGCTGTGCAGCAAACCATAGGACCCTACAGAATAGAACATGCAGCCGACTTGGCCTTCAATACAACCGGCCGCCGCCTCGTCCCCGCTCTCCCTTCTTTCCTCCCCCTCGCCCTCCCCAATGATCAACTGTTGAATAACACAAGTGGGCGAGAGCATAAGAAACGCACGATCAAATATTGTTTTACACGGTTTCAAAAAATAAGCAAACAAAAATTAAAGTACAGCATCAAATAATTTAGTTCGATTTTGCCAGTCTTTCAAGCTCTTTATTCTTTTGGCGATATGAACGCAGGTTGCAGTCTTATAAGTCTGCGCCACTAATGTGCAAAACCTATTTTTGCCACCTAGTTCCCACTAATGTGCAAAACTATGTGACTACCCTAGTAGTGGTTTTGGCTCTGTTCTAGCCCTCTACAGACCATGCGCTATTTTCGAGCGCCCTATCGTCCACAGTAGTCTAAACCCGTCGCTTCTATATGAAACTGTTGGGATTATGATTCAGGCAAACACCTAAAGGCACAGCGCTCGGAGATCAAGCGACTCTAGCTACACCAAAAATTGACACCGTAGATCACGTAGTTCACGAGGATTAGAAAAATAACGAAAAATGTCCTATTTTTCATGATGGTTCGAAAAAGTAAGCAGATTATAACTCATTCGAAATCGCGTAGCAAAATTGCCAAAAACTTGAACGAAGGGAAACGATGACGAATGAACGGTAGAACATGTAAAAGTGGACGAGTTTAACGTGGAATCCCCCCAGAACTTATTAGTGTGCATGCACTCGAGGCATTTTGTTATAGTAGCCCTTTCGGCATCGCGCACGTAGGGAACTGTCCATTGAAGTATCAGACAGGTTTATTCTTCAAAAATTCGAGAGGGTCGTATTTGGGATGTGAAAGAGGGTGGGTGGTTGCTAAAGGAAATTGAAGGTGTCTTGATATGAGGGTTGGAGCCATGTTTGAGACTGGGGGAAAATTCGTGTTGTGCCAAAAACATGGACATGTATCGAACGCTGTAGTAAACTTAGAATTGCTATTTCGAACACTAGCACCCGCCCCACTAGAACAGCGATATTGAGTTTGGAGGCGGGGTTGGGATGTGTCAAGAGGTGGCAAAGACCGACGACGCTATGAACACCATCGACCGCAAAATTCTTCACAACATGACGCCTGACACTTCGCGGACGTTAACACCAGATGGTCAAGAAGAGCTGTTTCCAAACATTCTTAGTCTTGGAAAAGTTCCAATTTGTCACATGGTACTCCGCACATGGCACTCTGTGCTCGCCCCTTTGCACCCTATTCGAGGAGGTAGGAAGCAAGCTTTCTTGTGCACGATGCCTTTAGGTTCCAATCAAAGCACTCTACCCAGGTTTGGAAAGTCCTTAGAGCCAATTTGACCTAGTGCGCATTCATGCAGCCGACGATAGCCGACGCTTTCAGAAAGACCGTCGTACCTTTGGTTGTAAGTCTGCAGTGCAGACGCACTCGGCCGTCGGAAGCAAGTGATAACCCCATAAAAATTTAAGCCACTTCAGATCCAAATCGTGATCATTTAAAACTTAATATTTACAGATGAACTACTTGAAAATCCGATGGATTTGGAGAAATCGTCCCGAGTACTTTTATTGAACGTGGCTAACAAGTTAGTAACAAACACGTGAACAAGTGAAATTCAAACAATCAATTCACAAGGAAGGATGGCGTAAGCTTTGACCGACGAGAGCGGAAAGTGCGATAAAAAGATAACGACGCTTTCACGTTGTATTTCATCGCGGTCAAAGACCTATGAAATAGATCGCCAGTGATTATTACACGATAGAAAGACAAGTAAAACAAAACTGTTCAAATATATAATTGCAGCTACACGAGAAAAGAACAATGACCTGTAAAAAACGTGTTAGACTTAAAGGCAGCGACCATGATGAATGAGGAGCGGTTAGGTTTTGATGACGTTTTGAGAGCATCCCAACCATACGGCCCTCACGCGCTGAACGCGGGCCCAGTCCCACAATGGTCATTGACACTATCGAAATCGCACTGCCTTCCACATCGTGATCACTGCCTTTGAGTTCCGTCCAATTGCCAAATTGAAGTGAGTGTCCAACGCATCCACAAAAACTGATCAGCACCTGCTCACTGCTATCAAAAAGTATCTCAAGTTCTCATGGGACTTTGGAAGGAGACCTGGGTAAATTGACCTAACCTGAAGTGTTCCTTGCAATGTTCCTTGCAAATATGGCCTGAACTTACTTTAGTCCACCCTCTCCTCCCGTGACACATAAGCGGAAAAGGAAATTAATATTCAGCCCCACCGTGAATTAATTTAGTGAGTGGAGTGCTGCACTTCCATGTTCTCAACCTCCTGGGCTAATGACTTGCTTTTCAAGGTGGCGCCAAAGCGGATACCGTTTATACCATAATACCGTATAAATAGACTTTTCACGAAATTGGTGAGAAAGAGCGCCATCTCTTGGCGACAAGCTTGCACCAAAAGGCCGTTCTGCGCCACAACATAATGCGCGCCTCCGAAATTGCAGAATGCATGTGAACAGTATTTCAGAGGAAATCGAATGTTTGACGTAGTCTCAAAAAAATCAATATCAATAGACCCACAGCCGAACACGTAAGACGACAGCTAAGCAAGCTACTCCGAATTCTCCCCAGAATGAAAAGTATTCTTTTCTCATACCTCAGCCATTACCAGCACATCAGAGAACACACCTGATTGCTGGTGAAGGCTGAGAGCATAACCTGATGACGGCCTGGGACCTCGCCTCCTCTACAAACTAAGCTCCTTGTCAATAGACGGACGGGTTCGGACTGCCGATAATAACAACGTGCACCCCACAATGAGGAAGGGACTTCGGTTTCCATGTGAACCATTATCGGGACACATCGCAAGCTTTGCGCGCAGAGCTTGCCTCCTACTTCCCCAGCGCTATGCATAACAGGCTACAAACCTGATCTATGCTTTCGAAGTTAGATGAAAATCTTGACCCTGTATGAAACTCCGGCCGTAGAGGTTAACCAGTGCCCTGATCGCGTACCGCTTTCAGTTTTGGCGCCAGCGGCTTAGGGTGACACGTTGAGGCCCTTTTTAGCGCCATACCCCTTTTGCGTCAGTTTTCAATAGGAAATTACTTATATTAGTGACATCCCCGACATGAACGTCATAGCGACTTGTGACGCAAGCAGCATTCGGCACAGGCATGTTTGAGCCACCCTAAAATGCTATATTTTGTCACTTGTGGAAAGGAACCGCAAACCTAAGGAGCAGTTACTTGTCATTTAAGAAGCAGTTTTGTCAGGGTTTTCTGCAACCAGCATACCATTACCCTGTCAATTCCTACGGGTCTCCACCTGAAGTTCTACGGAAAGTTTTTCTTGCAAATTTCAAGAAATTTGCCTTTTCTTGTGCCTTTCAGAAGTACGATCTTACTTCAAATCCTACCATTACTCATGAGAATGTATCGCTAACAGCCTGTGTACAGTAAACCTGCTCAAAATGCTAAAATTCGAGAACCGCAATTGGACAGAACTTTCTGGGTTAAGTTAATAAAGAGCTAATAAAACATGTATTAGTTGATATAAAACAATCACAAATTTCAAATGAGACGCAGACCGTCAACCGGAACTGTCATGAGTATGCTGTCTTTTGAGACAAAGTGAGACCATCAGCAATGGCAAATGCGTAATCGCGTCTAGGAGAGCCGGGAAATCGATACCGCTGTGGCATGTTCCGAGGACCGGCTACCAAACAGGATACTGGTGGCGTGGCGGGAAGACAGAGACGCAGACGGTCAGCGGACGAGTCGCAGCGCGTACTACAGTGATTTCGCGTCAAGTTAATAGAATGTACTATAGTACGTCCCACATCACACAGCACGCGCTGCGACTCGTCCACTGACCCGTCTGCGTCTCTGCCTTCTCTCCCACGACGGACCTCCTGCCGGATACCCCTAGAACCGTGTCCCAGGCAGTTCTGATGGATTATAGACTACCCATAAATAAACATCGCTACACACCCGCTGAGTAATAATTTGACAACATTACTACGAATGAGCTCACTCCTTTGCCATGTACAATTACACGAGGTACTTATCAAAGATCGTCGTATATACATAACGAAGTATATCCACATGAGCTTTTTGACGATTTGCAGGGGGTATACTCTCCAGCGCCATTTTGATGCTTTCCAGACACACCTCATTACGTAGCATTGCGCTCGGCTGTGGTTCTGACGGTTCCTGCTCAGATGTCTGAAACTCGTCCTTTGGAGTGGACATCATCGAACGAACTTCTTCCGTGGGCTGCACGGAGAGCATCGGATGAGCATCGACCTTCACTGGTCGGTATACCGTCTGATAATGCCCCTCCTTCGGTGCCCGAAACGTCTGAGCCTGACCATCGCCGAGTGGTGAGGCATCAGCTGACGGATCTTGTCGTTTCTGCAAATTACCAGTAATATTTTGTGGGAAAATGAAAACGCTGCATAAAACATTGGCACTGATCAAATTTGTTCACTTTACGAGATTACACTTTTATCCGCGCCAGACACATTATTGCCGATGAACCTAGCGCCATGAGAAACTCTACTCGCGCCACCCGCGTTTGATCTCCCCTACTTTGATAGCCTATACCCACTTTGTCCCAGTCACCGGGCTGCCTTGGAGCCCAACCACAAGTTTTCTAGCAAACTCCGCCCAATTCGATGCACGCTCTGCCAGGCCTCGTCTACTTCACGAGCCTCTCGTCCCTTCTGCTTTCGTGGCAAACCCCGCCCACCTGCGAACACGCCGCCCATTGTGGTTGGGAACGGTATATCAACTGTTTAGTATACTTGAATATTATTATTCTAGACCATGCAGCCATCATGATGTATTGTAATACAGATTACGTTTACAATTACTCCTCCCCCTGTACAACGGGTTAAATCGGACTACACCAATAATGGTAAAAAAAATAAACTGGAGTAT